AATCAGACAGCCATTGTTAAATCAAAAAGTATTACACACATCTATATAGTTATAGCATAGGACTCTTCATGTTTTCCCCATTTCCTTTCAAACGAGTCAGTATGTTACCGTTAAATTACTGAACTAACTTTCATTGATCAACTCAACCTGTTCTTATTGAGCAACTAATGTTGCTGACTAGATAATATCTTAGTTAGCTTTGTAGTTTTCTAAAACAGAAGCGATTAAATCTCTAAATAGGCGTTTTGAATTATAATTTGCAACAGGATTCAAACAAGTGACTTCGGTATTGAAGATTCAACATTTAACTTCATTTATTATCTTCATCATTGTCTTCGTAAACAGAAATCACTTTGTCATTTTTAGACCCCATTCAAATCATTCATGGATTGATAGTGAGTAATAATCGATAACGCGTTTGTTATGACTCATAAAATTCTTTCCAATAAATGGCAAAGTGTTTATTAATTTTAAGTGGCTAGAGAGAATTGATCAATCCAGCATTAACTTAGTTTTCATCATATGTAAATTGACTTAAACTAGTAGACATATTACAGACTGACCTAGAGAATTCCATCAGCACAAAGGACACATATTTTTTGTGCTGCCTACCAACCAATAATGGATCAATATCAGTATTCGATTAGTTATAACCTAAATAAAATTCAATAGGAACTGTGATAGATATGATACTAGTTAGCTGGAGTTGGAAATACTCTTAGGCATTTCAGTTTATTACAAAATTGCCTGTCATCTACAGAGTTTATTGATTTTTTCTAAGCATCACTATGCAAATACTAACATGACTTTCCTATCGAACATGTTGTCTTGATGAATGCATTTGTAAAAGTTGATTAGAAGCAGCGAAATAAATAGTTTTTATGTTGACATTTATCAAATGGTTGTCTAACAATGATTGATTGATGATTTTAAATGTGTAAATACACAAACCTCCAAGACTCTGCCTAAAAAAATTCTAACAGTGCTCACTAGTGACTAGCTTCGTGAGGAAAGTCTCGGAGTTCTAGTTGAGAAGACGTGACCAATGGAGTCCAACCATGTCAGGCGTAGGCAGTAACTGCCGAAGACAAATGGATGAGGTCGTGCAAAATCACTAGTAGATCAATCAGAGTCGGACATTAACACCGTTGGTTGCATCCAATGGTTAGGCGTTCGCGCACAATACCGAAGGTCCTGGGCTCGAATCCTGCGAGGTGCAGGAGTCGTGGATGCTCACTGATGATTCGTAGTCCCATACCGGGACAAGACGGCCGTCTTGCAGTGCTTCCAGGTTTCTAATAGTGGTCTAACAATGACTGATTGATGATTTCAAATGTGTATTGTCTAACCGTCTATCGTTTAGACTCTATGGAACAAATCTGTGCCATGAATTCGTGATAATCGTAAAAGAATTAAATCATTCTATGAAAATAAAATTAGTCTACTCTTCCGTTTAGTCAAAGAATTTCTCTTTTCCTTGTAAATATTGAATATGTAAGTAAGTAAACAATACATTCATTACTATCATATAAGCTTGTTTATTGTCTAATTGCCATGAATTATTTTCAAATATTATCCATAAATCCCAATAAATTATATTAAAAATTTATGTGAATCATAATTTTCTGTTGACGTTGTTGTCACTGATGATGATACCCTTGTACACACTGACTGATAGTTGTGTGTATGTTTGTGTGTGTGTGTGTGTGCAGAGTGTACATTACACTTATAACTGTGTACAGAACAACATGTACAATACATCATACATACATACGTCTATGTAAATGTACACGTATACAATGTATTATTTGGCTAGCAAGTGATTTATACTTTTATTTTAAGCATCATGAGGCTTATTCCTTTGTCTATTTGTGCTTGCAAAAAAAGGAAAAACAAAACAGGAGGGGGGCAACAATGAAATAAGTGACAAGAAATAGAAGAAACTAAGAAGTGGATGGAGTAAGAGCATTATTTATACCAACTGGAATTTATTTAGCCAATTGTCTTTTTGCACTATCCTTCTTCTCCGTCTTCTACATCATTAACTGACTTTGATGCATTTGATTGACTCAGATTTTTGATCATAATAATCTAGACAAGAGTCGTGTGCCTATATATATGCATATTCACATGATGCTTAATGATTTCTGTGTTGTTTCATACTGTGTACTGTCTTATTGATTTTCCTACTCTTTCCTCTAGATATTTTCGATAATGATGATGATGATGGTGATTTGGTTTGATAATGTTGCCGAAAAATTTGTTGATTACAATCATATTGGATGCTTGACAAAACGTTGTGTTTTCATGAAATGTTCAATGTGTGCAAAACACATTTATCTCTATAAGTCTAATTGAAAAAACAATCATAAAATGTGCTCACTAGTGGTGACTAGGTTCGTGTGGAAATTCTCGGAATTCTAGTCAAAAGATGTGACCATTGTGGAGTTCAACCATGTTTGGTGTGTTTGGGCAGAAAATACCAAATACAAATGTGTGAGGTTGCGTAAAATTTGTAAATTGATCAGAGTTAGACATTAACACCGTTGGATGCTGGCTCAGTGGTCCAGAGGTTGGGCGTTCGCGCGCAACACCGAATTTCCCTAGGTATGAATCCTGCGAGGTGCAGGATTCTTGAATGAGCACTGCTGATGAGTCCCCTACCAGGACGAAACGGCTTGTCAGTGCTTCCAGGTTTCTAATAGTGGTCTAACAATGAGTGATTGATTATTTCAATGAGCAACAAACACTCATCTCCCTTAATTCTAACTGAAAAATTTGCTGTTTCTAACAGTAATATTATTAGTATGGGTATGAGTAGTAATTGAGTGTAAATTACTCACAACATGGCTTATGAGTAGTATGCAGTGGATAGGCACGGAGTGTCGCCCTGAAGTTACTGAAGAGTTTTGGAGACGGATATGTCGCAACCAGTATTTTGAAGGCTAAAAGACATGTGGAAGAAGACAATGAAAATAACCTCGTAAACTGTGTCTTTTCCTAGTAAATAACTTATCCCATCTAGTCTTGGCATTTGCGTCGTTTTTTATAGTAGCTGTAGTAGGAGTTTTCAAGTGGTACTATGTTTTTGTATTTAGCTTTTTCTTGTACAACTAACTATGAACACTTAAAATTTACCAAAAAACATTCGAAAGTGTGGAGTAACACTAGAGCTATTTCATCTTGAGAAATTAATCTCAGAGGTGTGAGTTCACCAATTGACTAAAATCCGGGACATTTAGGTTTCAAGATAAGAGCTAAACATTCAAGCCACTACTCAACCAGCATCTAATTGTTTGAAGTTGAATAAAATCACCATCATAATACTACTTCTACCTCAGACTAAGTACATGCCATTTATCACAACCCGCATGGTTTCAACAAGAGATCAGAATTCTAATAGTTTAAAGATGTTATAAGCTAAATACAACCTTATGAACATTACTCATCATAATTATTTCATGAATTGAACGATTTGTGTTTTATATACGAAGGAATATAGTTTATAAATGTGTACTTTCTTTCAATGAGGAATAACACTTTATAAGGGGCTACACGCAAAAGGTTGAGGAGTTATTGGAATTTTTGTCGAGAAATCATACTACAAGTAGTTACTGATCGCTAATATAAGTTGAGATCATTCCATAGTATTTCTGAGTAATTTTCATGCAATTATGTTTGACTTAGAACTGTAAGTTTTTTAAAATTTAATTGTGGGTATGCATATTGCTTGAGATTTTCAAACCATGACAAGATAATTTAGGATGAATATCATTTCGAAATCCACGTGACAAAGTTTAATTGACAGTTCAACCAAGAAGCAATTGCTTCAGTTAAGGGAGTTGAATTCATTTTTATGAAATAATGTAAACGAGAACTGAAACAGTAGTAATGATAGACTAACACATTTCAATGCTATGTAGCTTGGATTTATGGGGCAGCAGCAGTATATCGACAATCAAGGTGGATCCAATGCAGATGTAAAGGCACGGATTGGCAAAGCATGGGCTGCATTTCTACAATTGAAAAATATCTGGAACTCAAAACATCTGTCAACAAACACCAAAATCAGGATTCTCTATGCAAATTTCAAGACAGTTCTACTATATGGAGCAGAAACTTGGAGAACTACCAAAGCCATCATCTACTGATCATTAATAGTTGTCTACTCAAAACACTCCAGATCCATTGACCAGACACCATCAGCAACAATCTACTGTGGGTAAGAACAAACCAGATTCCAGTGTAGGAGGAAATCAGGAAGAGGCGCTGGAAGTGGAGAGGACACAAATGGCGCAAAGCACTGAACTGCGTCACAAAACAAGCCCTCATCTGGAATCTTTAAGGCCAATGAAAAAGATGGAGACGAAAGAACACATTGCGCCGAGAGATAGCCATGAGAAGAATGAATAAAAGTTGAACAAAACCGCGAAGGGAAGCCAAGGAAAGAATAAGTTTGAGGATACTGGCCAGCTGAATATCCTCCATTTTTGGGTAACAGGCGTAAGTAAGGTGAGTTATTTGGTTAGTAATAGAATCTACTATGTGGGGATTTTTTCTTATTTCTGTGATTTTTAAATTCAATTCAGGAAAAAGCGCTGGAGATGGATGGGGTACACATTGCAGAAAGCACCGAACTTCGTCACAAGACCTGCCTTAAATTGGAAGGTCAAAGGAAAAGAGAGAGGCCAAGGAACACATTATGCCGAGAAACAGAGACAGACATGAGAAGAATGAACAAAAATTGGACAGAACTGGAATGGGAGGGCCAGGACAGAGTAGGTTGTAGAATACTGGTCGGCAACCTATGCTCCATTGGGGTCTAACAGGCGTAAGTAAGTAAGTAAGTCAGTAAGTAAGCAGTCTATACATTGGTCAACCGTCAATTTTTCTACCCACTCTTAAAGCAAGTATTCAAGTCACAAAAGTCAAAAATTTCAAAACGCCAACATCAAATAAATAATTCTTACAAGTATAATTATCAAATGGATTCAACTTACTGTTAAATTTGTCTTTTCCACATTGATTGATTCATTGAAATGTGTTAATGGTTGATGACATAATGCTGATGATGAGTTTACTGTCCGTTGTTGGTTCTGTTGTTCACTTGAATTCAATGTGATTCGATTTGTTAATGCACAACAGAAATTATCATAGAATTCATATGAATGAGGTTGTTGATTTGTTTTAAATTGATTATGCATGGATGTTATTGTGTGTGGGGGAATATTTTTCGATAAGATTTCTTCTTCTGCTGCCTCTGCTTCTTTTTCATTGATTATTGTCGTTGGCATACATTTCATTGATGATAAATGATTCATTTGATAAGTTAAAGGATTTAAACATTCATTACAACAACATAATGATGTCGTGGTAGTAGAAGTAGAAGGATATAATGGTAAATATTTGTCGATCGTTTTAGTTTTTAACTTTTGATTTAATGAAGGAGATTTTTCAGAATTATCTAAAAATATACAATACATGATAATATTAATAATTACAGTCATTATGTTAAAATTAATGATTTTCAAGAATGAAGTCAAATAAACACAATGTGGTGAGAGCTACTTATAAGTAGTATATTAGGTGAGTGTAAACGTAATGTCTGGCAGCAGAAGACGGGGAGAGATCAAGAAAGGAAGAATGGGAACACAATGGAATTTGTATGAAACGCATGAATAGTGAAAATGGATTGATATTTTGCAACAGGAACAGTCCAGTTCGATATGATGGATTGATATTCTGCAAATTAACGATTCTCGATATGGTTTTCCGATTTTACTGAGTAACAATTCGGTTGCCCTCACCTGTGTTCTCCTTCACTACAACAATAGTTGGACGACCATCTTAGAAACATGGAAGCATTGAACGGCCGTTTCGTCCTGGTATGGGACTGATCAAGAGTGCGCATCCACAACTCTTGCACCTCGCAGGATTCGAACCCGGGATCTTCAGCCTTGAGCGTGAGCACCTAACCTCTGGACCACTGGACCGGCATCCAATGTCAAATGTGTCGGGTGTTGGCAGTAACTAAGCAAGACAAATGGGAGAGGTTGTGAGAAATCTCTAGATTGATCAGAGCTAGACATTAACACCGTTGAATGTCGGCTCAATAGTCCAGAGGTTAGGTGTTCTAGCGCAAGTTAATGGTTGTCTAACCTACATCTGTTAGTGACTTTAATAAAGTAAGAATTTTAGTTATCTATGAATTATTACCTATGAATTATCTCACACTACTAATGGTGTAAGGCAGTCAATAGCTTTTAACACATAACGCATTACAGTTCAAAGTAAAATGGTCTTAAGTTCAAATCGCAGTGTAAATAGTAGGATGCAAGTTGATCCCGTTGATGAGTAGAAAAGCACTTTTTGCGATCCAATGTTAATCAAAATCTATATATTCTTTTTCGGAATTGATTATCAAATAAATGAAATGAAAAAGTTAAATAGAAACTTGGTACTCTCAGCACTTAGCCTTAAAGTGTTATAAGTAATTAGCTAAAACTTCTCCGATTTTTTCAGGCAGATCTTTGGAGGTTTGTGTTTTTACACATTTGAAATCATCAGTCAATCATTGTTAGACCACCATTAGAAACCTGGAAGCACTGAAAGACGGCCGTTAAGTTCTGGTATGAGACTACGAATCAGCAGTGCGCATCCAAGACTCCTACACCTTGCAGGATTCGAACCCGGGACCTTCGGTATTGTGCGCGAACGCCTAACCATCGGACCACTGGTCCGGCATCCAACGGTGTTAATGTCTAACTCTGATTGACCTATGGATTTGTTGATTTCAGTAGTCATGACCAAATAACTTAATGCTCTTCCATGTATCAAAAAGAAATTTCTCTGTAATTCTAATCATTTCATAATATTTCAACTCTTTGAGTCTAGGGAGTAATCCACTCTTATCGATAGTGAGGCAGAGGGTGTACAGTGCTGAAAAGCTTCATAAAAATGCCCAAAACAGCTGCTCCATCGTATCTTCTAGTGTTTTTCTAATAATTATCTAACTAAACTAATGTGCTTTCAACAAACTAGTCATCAGTGGCAAAACTACATGGATTACACTGCATCAGAACCTAACCGATCATATTTGTATCAACAAAAAGGTTCAGAAGAACCATGTAGGACGGGAGAACAAAGAGAGTCGTTAACATAGACTCAGATCATCGCTTGCTGGTCGCCAAACTGAAACTGAAACTCAAAAAATGGTGTCATGAATTATTTCTTAATTTTACACGTTAACAATGATTGTCTAACCTAAATCTGTGAGTGATGCAAACTAGAATATAAGTATGCAACGATATAACAATCAGATAATGCCAACTAACCTTCTCTCATCAAACATTTCTGTGAATGAGGTTCCGATAGGAAATTAGCATTATGTAATAATTGTTGTTGTTGATGATAATGATTGGATTTATGAAAGTTCATATTTGATTTGCATAAAATATCTTTTGTAAAATTCACATGACGTTTTTGTTCATTCAATGAATTGTTGTCATTCATGTAATCAAATGTGTTATTTACTTTTAAGTTATGATTATTATTCTCAGATGTTGACGGTGATTGTTCATTTGACGATTCATGATGATGATGATGCTGATGATGCTGATGATGCTGATTTCTACTGGAAGTTATTGATGATGAAGATGATAATGTAGTTGATATAGATGCTGACGCTACTACTACTGGTGAATCGAATTGACGAATTGGTGTGTAATATGATTCAGTATAATGAATATTTAAATCAGGATGACTATATTTATTACTAATTTGATTACTATGAGTAGTATATTGTGAATTACCATCAATGGACCAATTGGATGATGGACTAAATGAATCATTTGATGTTGTAATCTGATGATGATGATTATTAGTACAGTGTACTTCACTAGAATTATACTGACGACTATGGTGATGATGATGGTTAGGATGAGGATGATGATAAGGTTGGCGGTAATGATGTGCTTCAGGAAGGATTGCAGATAATGATAATAGGGAACCACCTAAATCAGATAATGAAGCAGCTATGCCTCCTTCTATGTTATTCTCATTATAATGTAAATGACTAATTGTTTTTGTAGGATATTGTACATTACTACTAGTATTTTCAGTGTTAAAACGTTGATCAATAAGACTTCCATTACTTGAATTGGGATTATTAGTAGTATGATTACTACTAACATTATTATTATGAATCACATTCTCATTGCTATTCATAGTAAAACTATGATTATCATTGATTAATGAATCGTTTTGGCTTTTTCTACTCTCACTAGTACAATATGCACTTGTATCTCCACTACCATTTAATCTGTGCTGTTCTAAATTGTCAAGATACATTGAATCAGGTTCAATGAGCTTAGAATTTGTATCAGCGCAGAATGTAGTTTGCTGCTGTTGCTGTTGTCTAGTCTGTGATCCTGGACGTTCTGAAGAAACCGGACGATCTATAAATGTAACAGAGTTGAAAATAATCTATTTTTATAAGATTTTATATGTTTGATATTTATATACTTAGGAAAGTAAATATCTGTATACTGACAAGGAAAACTGAACACAGTTAGACAGTAAGTCGTAGAAGACTGGAACTCTTCAGTTGTTTATGCGCTCGTTACCCAGTCACACGGGATCAAGAAATTCTAGATCTCATATCAAACGCTTCATCTTTAGATTATTCAACTGTCATCTAATTATTTCTATTTCTAGTTTTAGTCAACCCAGGATATTGCAGAATCCTGTTACATTTTTTTCTGTAGGCGACGCCTGACTTGGTTTTAGCGATTATGCACATAAGCTGAGACTTATAGGTCGAACCGCCAATACAACATCATAAATAGTTTCATATAAGAAATTTTAGGCAAGATGACTGAATAAAATTGACTAGAGGACCTTGTGAAATAGAATTTATGCAGGTTAGGACGTACATAGACAAAATATATCTCCATTCTTATGTCAACGGGTGCGTTTCTTAGAATTCAAAGTACACCTATGTCATTTCTACTATTACTTAGTCAGTAATATATTCAAACATTTAAACTAACACATCACAGGTTGCGCGATATAACATGAATGAAGATTTTAGTGTACACTTATAAGAAGTAGGTTTCTTCGGTTTGACTCTGTCTGATATTACTGTTTGCTTTTGAAAATCAGAACTTAAATGAAATATGAAATACACAGTAAGAATTAGATAATTCTCAGGTTGATATTCGTATTTTTTGATGAAAAATACTTTTAAATTGTACAAAACATGAAGGAAAACAACTTTAGTCTGTTTTGTACATTTGGGACATTTTTTGAATTGTCTTTTCTACAACTCAAAATAAATGGAATGTAGGTTTTTATCAGGATCACTTATTGATATTAATCTCATAAGTTATTCACGTATTTTGCATTCGTTATATCATTCTTATACACTGGTATGGAAAGCATTTTACATTTTTAGTCGAAATGGAATCCCTGCTTCACTTAAGTTTCGCGCTGTCTGAAGCTTGTCACCAAGGTGTAGCACTCGCTTCTAAGTATGCTCACAAACGATTACGGATTCACCTTAGTCGAATAATGAGAACGAGACAATGAACCAGCGTCCAGGTAGACTGCTCTGATCCGTTGATCCAAATCTACTAAAAAGAAGTCTTGATATGGTGTAGAAAGTGTATTCTACAAACACCCAGTCAGCACGCAATGAACCCAAGCACACTAATCGCGTTTATTTATACACGATAGAGTTGTTGTTGGGAGTGTCACAAAATGGTACACTAAAATAACACACTAACCAATCACATCCAAGTATTTTCCTGGTGGGAAATGTGATCTCAAGGTCAACTGAACAGCTCATGAATAAAATCCAAAATGAAGACATTTATCGAGCGAATTCTGGGAATCTAACATCTCCAACACAAGGGTTATCTGCAATCTTCAGAGAGCTGATGTTCTCCATAGGATTCAAACAGATATCATTCAGTTTCACAGTCGGAGTTTCTACCGCGTGGCTATTCGGGTCAATACTAATCCTCTTGTGTTGAATAGTGACTTAAATTATATTTGTATAGACCATTATGCGGATGTGATTCTATCCAGTCATTCAACAAACTAGTATACAGAATATGTCAACTTGATCGATAAAATTCGATCACCACTCATGGATTAGGACAAACATGAATTTTACTCTTATTCAATGATCAGTTAGTTTAAAGAAATTCATCTTGCAAAATAGGTATTTTCACATAATTTACTTTTAAAGTATTCCAATTACTTTTCATTAGTATAAAATGTAAAACTCATACATACACAATCATTTTATGATTAGAAAATTAATCATTTGAAAACAAAAATAACAGGAACATGAAAGAAAATGATTTGAAATGAGAAATAATAGAATTCATTGATATGTTCCATCGTGTTCTGATTCTTTATAAATTAATGCATGTAAATGTGCTCACAAGTGATTAGCTCCGTGAGGAATATCTTGGAGTTCTAGTTGAGAAGACGTGCCCAATGGGGTTCAACCCTGTCGGGTGTATAGGCAGTAACTACCAAAGACAAATGGATGAGGTCGCGCAAAATCACTGGTAGATCAATCAGAGTTAGACATTAACACCGTTGGATGCCGGCCCAGTGGTCCGATGGTTAGGCGATCGCGCACAATACCAAAGGTCCCGGGTTCGAATCCTGTGAGGTGTAGGAGTCGTGGATGCTCACTGCTGATTCGTAGTCCCATACCAGGACTTGACAGCTGTCCAGTGTTTCCAGGTTTCTAATGGTGGTCTAACAATGATTGATTAATCGTTTCAGATGTGTAAAAACATAGTTAGAACATCTGTATGTGCATGTTTCTAGATTAAAAACATTGAATGTGGATATCATTCAAAAACAATGTAACCAAACAAACTGATATGAAATACTGTAATTAAACAGAGTAGAGAGTATTGGTTAAGGCGATCATTTGAAATCATGAATCGATCAATGTTAAACCACCATTAGAAACCTGAAAGCACTGGACGGCCGTCAAGTCCTGCTACGGGACTCCTTAGCAGTGGGCATCCACAATACCTGTACCTAGCGGGATTCGAACCCAGGACCTTCGGTATTGTAGGCAAACGCCTAATCATCGGACCATTGAGCCGGTATCTAACGGTGTTAATGTCTAGCTTGATCAGTTCACGGAGTCGCGCAACCTCATACACTGTCTTCGGTAGTTACTGTCTACACCTGAACAGGTTGAACTTCACTGGTCACGTCTTCCCAATAGAACTCGAAGAAGATTCCTCACGAAGCTAGTCAAATAAAACTTAACAATCTTCACAACAACCCCGTAATGTAAAGCGATCATGTTATCAGTAATTGTGTGAATTGTTCGGTAGTAATCCAAAAAACAATGTACAATTGGTAACAGTGTTTATTAGGCTCATTTATACACAATACAAAATTGCCATTGAGTTTATTTTAGATACATGTCATTATACTATTTCAAACTTAGTTCAGATTATTTCCATATAGTATGATTTTTGATATGGTGTGTTAATTAAATTCTGACACTTTTAGAAACCCCAACTCCGTCTGGAGGTCTTCTATAGAGCTATTGCCGGTCCAGAGTCCGGATAAAGGAGTAGGGTTTCGCTAGGGGGTGGCGACTCCATACCGTAGAAAACTAGCCCGCTTACAAAACGCTAACCAGGTAAAGTAATTCAAACCATTTCAACTGTGCTCTGGGAGTTAGAAGGTCTTCTTTCAAAAAAGTTGTGACATCGTCTCATGATGAAAGCCGAGGTCCCTCGGAAGTCATGAGGCCGATGCCTCTTCTGACAACCAAAGTAACCATTCTTTCAGGTACATGGAATGTCCGAACATTGTGGGAGAATGGAAGACTACTTCGAATTGCTGCAGCAATGTAAAGATTCAACATGGAGGTGCTTGGAATCAGTGAAACACATTGGTTCATTTATGAATTATATATCTGATAATTGCAGAGGTTGAAAACTTCAATCAAAATACTTGTTTTTGCTGATAATGTTTAATTTATATGTTGTATGAAATCAATAAATTTATTTTAATTCAAATTACCGTATCATTTCATGCACTGATTGTGACTAAAAATCTTGTGGTTCATGTCTCATGATCTAGGGGCGGCCAAACCAAAACATGGGGCGAATCCATGAAGTCACTGACCAGTCGATTGAGTTATGTTGGTAGATGTAGACTACCTAGTTGAGGTCCACGAAACTAGAGTACCCCATGGTTAGAGACCTTGAATAACATGGCTCAAAATCGTTTGCAATGGCGCAGGTGCATCCCCTCTTTGTGTTCTTTGAAATTCTAATCTTCAGAATTACTCATCATCTCTATATTTCTCTTTCTAAAGTTATCTCACTGACCTTTACTTCTTGAATAATATCTTCGATCTCTAATATTCTTCATTACTGCTAGTTCCTCTACTATCTCCATCACTGACAGTTGCATCTCTGTGCTAATGTGGTATGGCAATCTGAATTTATGTACTTACTTACGAAGTTCTACATTGTAACTGATTGACTGTTTGTCTACTGATCAAAAGGTTTGAAACTTGCTAAATGACTTAAGAATTGTAGTTCCTCCCATCGAGGAGTAGTTATAGTTTGGAAATTTAGAAGAGTTGTTTAATTAAACGAGGCAAACTTTCAGTCATTATTAGCTTACAATGGTACTCCATTCCAAATCTATTCGAAATAAATCCCATTTACGTATAGTTATATCTGTTTATAGTTGATTTATCACCGAGTAGTAACCATTTTCACTTTTGTCTAGTCCTTTTGAATCAGCCAAATTCTGTTAGAAAAGTGGCACTGTAGCCACTTGTTTGAGTGACTCGGCATTTTGTTGAGGAATTAGGTGTTTAGGTATAGTTTGGTTTGTTTGACTTATTTTTCACGCTATTTCGAATTTATCAGCAACATGTATCTTTGTTTCTGACGAAATTTGTTACCTCTTGGTGGACTCAAAGCCTAAAATCCATCCATTAGGAGTCATAACTTACTGACTAGTATCAAACAACATGAAAACTAGATTAAACAAAGTATCTACTCGACTAACTTCTACCATCTATATATAATCCCTAATTATTGTTGGTTGATGAGGAAATTCTTTGAAATAACAATATAGAGGCCTTGTTTATGATTATTATCACTATGATTATTTACTTGAACCTGTTGTAACTTATGAACTATGCATCAAAACGTTTCAGAAAAAAAAAACTAAGAGAATAAAGTCTAACCAAATGACTAATGTAATGAATGCACCATGTTTACAAAATAAAATAAAAAACAGTTTTTTTCAAGTGAATCTTGTTTATTTGTTTACTTGTTCGTTTGCTGTTTTTCTCCCTAATCATAAGTTACCGTTTAGCTTTGATGTAAACAAATCATGGATTTAAGTTGCCTGATTTTTTTTTTGTTGTTGTTGTTGTATGTTG